AAAAATCGACTGAGATGGGGTCAAGCGCGACTTCGGCTGCTATTCCGGAGAGCCCGAAGTCCTTGCAGCAGGAGATGACAACTACCGAGGTGCCGCCAGTTATGAATGTTGTGGCTATTAACCAAGCGGAGCCTGAACCGATCGTGACGGGAACGGAGTTGGTTACGGCCGAGGTTGTCCGCACCGAAGTGCCGCCCTCTTCTCCGAAGTCCATGGAGTTGGAACAACCAGAGAAGAGAAAAAAGAGAAAGTTGGTTAAGATGGCCGATGTTGGTGCTTCTTCCGGAGTGGAGAAGAGATCAAAGAAGAAACACGACTCCGGTCACAAGGCAACGGAGAAGGGTAAGGATGAATCCTCTTTATTTGAAAAATCTTTCCTGTCCATTGATGAAGAGAGGGCTGCGAACGTCAAAGTGCCCGAAGGTGTTGTGGAGGAGTGGTTTACCACTTTTCAATCTGTGAAGACACCGCACATGTCATCAAGGATTGAGATGCCGGAGAGCGCTAAAAATGCTGCTTGTGTGCCGTTGATGGTGTGGGACCCCAAATCGGAAGTAGGGGTCTCTTCTTTGTCGAGTGCGGAATGGTTGAGCTACGCCAAGGCATGTGTTGGTAGGGCATTGGTCAGTTTGGTTGCTGCCGAAGACGATCACCGCCGAATTTCGTCACAGTTGGAAGGAAAAAAGGATATAATAGCTGCGCGTGACGTTCTGATCGTCAAGTTGAAAGAAGAATCTGCAAAAATGGAGGCCGACTTGAAGGGCCAACTTTCTGAGCAAGCTGCCCAGTTGGAGAGTGCACGGGCCGAGACCTCGGTGTTATCTGAAGAGAAGAAAGCCTTTGAGGCTGAGGTGGCCGATCTTAAGGCGCGCCTGGCTGTGGTTGAACAACATTTTAAAGCTTCCGAGGCTAAAGTGGAGGAAACAGCGAAGGCGCTGTCAGATGAGAAGGCAAGTCATGAAACAACTCGCCAAGAGTATGCCGAGGTCCGCGAGCTGGTAGGTCGGCAAAAGGATGCTCATCAAGCCGAGATGGCTAAACTTGAGAGAGAAAAATCGACATATGGGGAATTCATGTACGAGAATGGCTTCCAGGCTGGGAAGGATTCGGTCGTTGTTGAACCGAAGTCCGGTGGTGATGCCGAGGTTGATGGTGAGGACGCCGGCGAAAATGAAGACGGGGTCGGTGAACCTGACCTTGAAATTGAGATGAATACCTGCCTGAATCTTCGCTGGGTTATTGAGCGCTACGATGCCGGCTACTATGATATTGACGACCTCCGTTTGTTCCTATTCCATAAGCTGGAGAAGTACGGTTTTGATTCCGAGATAAAGGGGATGCACATGGTGGCTGACGAGGATGAACGCTATTTTTGTGTATGGATGCTCCGTCGTTCTGAGGAGATGAACGCGAATCCTGATCTGCCGCCACTTTCTGAGGACAGGGCCGCTCTCCTCCGACGTGCTTATGTTAACATGATCTTGGAGGAGGAGAAAGAAAAAAGAAAGGAACTGGCCGACGTGTATCTCTCAACTCTGGCCGAGGTGGAGGTTGAACAACACTTTGATGATATGACTCCAGAGCAAATTCAGAGCAGGGTCAAAGCCTATATTGAGGAGAAGGCAAGGTCGGCCGATAAGAAGGTTGAAGTTGTTAGGGTTGTCACGCCGGCTGAGGATGATATGGATAAAGTGCGAGATCCTCGTGATGAGTTGGTTCCGGTGTCAGATGGAGCCATCGAGATTGCTGCTAAAGCGAGGGAGTCGCAAGTTTTGGAGCGACTATCCTCAGGGATCGAAGCCGGGGAAGGCAGTGGCACCGGGACCAAAATGGAGAAGAAGGATGACGACGCCTGAAGTTTTAGTTCTTTTTGTATTTTTAAATATTTGCAGTATATAGTCGGGGTGCCGGCATGTCGGCATCTTTAGTAGGAAATATATAATGTTGGCAATATGTAATCGGGGACATCAGATAACTGAGTCCCTTAGTAGGAAAATATGTAAGGTATTTCTGACTTATTTAAGATATATATATATGAGGTGTTTGCATAATTCCTATTTTGATTTACGTTTGCTGTACATATTTCAGCGATTTTTCGACCAAGTGTTCTGAACTCGGTTCGGATTATAAAGTGAATCGCTTCAACTCGGATTTATGTATATTAGTAACCGAGTCGTAGGCTTTTGTAAGAATAGTTTCCGAGTTCCACTTTGATCTTTAGTTTTTGTGATAATTTCAGCCACAAGTGTAAGTCGATATGCGAGTTTTCAAATAACTCGCTAAACATAACACATATTTCGGGCTGTGCGTGAAATAAGATAGAGTTCACCGAACTTCGTCAGAGTTCGATTATGGAATGGCCCCGACCGATTTCTATTATTTTTTATGTTCGGTAACTTTCGGGGCCCGTCAAATCATGTGTGTTGAAATGACGTTTGACGAGCATCACCCCCATCCGAAAATATGTGGTATTCGGACATATTATGGGGTATCAGCTAGACCGAGTGTCGCAATGCTTACATCGGTACGATATATTCATAGAACCGAGTTTCAAAATGTTTACATCGATAAGGAGTTGTTGCTCGGATTTTCAAAAGAGAAAGCCGACAGGCTTTTCAGTACATCAAAAGAATGACTTCGTACATTCACCGAGGCGGAAAGAAGGTCCGTGCAAAAGAGAGGTCGGATATCCGACTTCGGACCATTCACTGATAGAACTTTATCAAGAACACAGCATTTCAGGGATATTGATGAGGTGTCCCGTCGGGATGAGCAATCCGATATGCTCCATGGGGTAGAATCTCAATGATTTGGTAAGGCCCCTCCCACTTTGGTTTGAGTGGTCCGGGGTCAGGCCCCATTATACGTTTGAGGACCAAGTCTCCAACTCGGAATGAACGAGGTTTGAGTTTAGAATTGATATATCTCTCACTTCTTTGTTTGTAAGCGGCATTCCTGAGTTCGGCCTGGGTACGATGTTCTTCAAGTAGGTCTAGATTAGCCTTTATGTTTTCTGGGTTGGCCTCTTCGGTGAAATGTTGAACTCGGTACGTCGGTTCTCCGAGTTCGACCGGGACCACGGCTTCTGAGCCGTAAGTTAAGGAAAATGGGGTCTCGCCGGTAGAAGTTCGAGTGGTAGTTCGGTAAGCCCACAGGACATGTGGTAGTTCTTCCGGCCAAGCTCCTTTGGCAGCGTCAAGTCGGACTTTAAGGCCGTTTTTTATAAGCTTATTTACAGCTTCTACTTGGCCGTTGGACTGTGGGTGGTAAGGCGATGAGAAGAAGTGTTTGATGTTATATTCTTCGCATAAGGACTCGAGTTGCTTGTCCTCAAATTGCCAACCGTTGTCGGTGATGATGGAGTTCGGGACTCCGAAACGGCAGATGAGCGATTTCCATATAAAATCAACGACTTTCTGTTCGGTTATCGTGACTAACGGTTCGGCTTCAGCCCACTTAGTGAAATAATCAACGGCTACGATGGCAAATCGGACGCCTCCTTTTTCGGTTGGTAAAGGACCTATGAGATCAATCCCCCATTTGGCGAAAGGCCAAGGACTGTAGATCGATTTGAGCTCTTCGGGAGACTGATGGACATTGGGCGCGAACACTTGGTTCGGGCATTTGCGAACCCATGTGGCAGCGTCGGTTTTCAAGGTCGGCCAGTAATAACCTTGTCGCAAGATTTTGTAAGATAATGCTTGTGCACCGGGGTGACTTCCGCAAATCCCTTCGTGGATTTCTTCAAGAATGTACTGTGACTCAGTTTCACTCACGCATTTTAAAAGTGGGACGGAGTATCCCTTTTTAAACAAAGTTTCGTTGTCCAATGTGTACCGAGCTGCTCGGATCCGAAGTGCACGAGCTTCTTTTGGGTCTGGGGGTAAGGCCCCAGTTTCCAAATAATGAATAATAGGATCCATCCAAGTCGGTGGCTTTTGCGGCGTCACCGGATCGATAGTTGCGACCTCGAAAAGTACAGTCGACGGTTGTTCTTGCTGGCCGATTTGGACATACTCCGCGCTCTCCATTCCGGTACTTGAGGCCAGCCGAGATAAGGCATCTGCTTGAACATTAAGAGTTCGGGGGATGTGTTCGAGGTCGGCGGAGAACTTTGATAACTTTTGTTTGGCCAAAGAGAGATAAGATGTCAACCGAGGTTCTTTGACTTCATATGAACCATTGATTTGGTTGACAAGGAGTTGAGAGTCCGAAAAGACTTTAAGGTGTCTCACGTTCATGGATTCCGCCAAATTCAATCCGGATAGCAAGTCTTCGTATTCGGCTTCATTGTTGGTTGCCGGGAAGAGGAACTTCACCGAGTGACAGAATAACCGGTTTTCCGGGTCAGCTAAAACTATCCCTGCACCTGCTCGGTTGGCTGTTGAAGATCCATAAATATAGAGGACCCATGGTTGATCATCATGATGAACTGTTATGGCCGGAGTGAACTCGGCAATGAAGTCAGATAAGGCTTGTGCCTTGATCGCGGTCCTCGGTTGATAATGGATATCGAATTGTCCGAGCTCAATGGCCCATTTTACCATGCGTCCCGAGGTATCAGGTCGGTGCAGGATTTGCCGAAGTGGATACGAAGTGCGAACAGTTATAGAATGTTTTTGGAAATAAGGTCGCAATTTCTGGGCTGCTATTACAAGTGCAAACGCCAACTTTTCCATCGGAGGGTAACGCAGTTCGGCGTCGTGCAAGGCTTTGCTGACATAATAGATAGGTGATTGCAACAGTTCTTCTTCACGTATCAGAACAGCGCTAATGGCAGAATCACTGACTCCGAGATATAAGAACAACATTTCCTCGGGTCTTGGCTTTTGTAAAGTCGGAGGAGAGGCAAGCGTCTCCTTGATGCTAACGAGAGCTTTTTTGCATTCCTCGGTCCATTCAAAACGTTTTCCTTTTTTGATTGCTTCGAAAAAGGGTGTGCAACGATCTGTAGACTTGGAGATGAACCGGTTGAGTGCAGCAAGTCGGCCGGTTAGGGCCTGCACACCCTTAACCGAGGTCGGGGGAGTTAGATCTTGAATGGCCTTTATTTTAGCCGGATTGGCTTCAATTCCGCGCTGGCTGACCATATAGCCCAGAAATTTTCCCGATTCAACTCCAAAAGTACATTTCTTAGGATTTAAGACCATGGAATAAGATCGGAGGATGGCGAACATGTCTTGAAGATGCGTTATATGATCAGAGGCGTGCACCGACTTGACGACCATGTCATCAACATAAACTTCCATAGTGTGACCGATCAATGTAGCGAACATTTTGTTGACGAGGCGTTGATATGTGGCTCCGGCGTTCTTTAACCCAAACGACATCATAGTATAACAGTACAAGCCTCGGGCCGAATAGAATGAGGTGTGTTCAGAATCTTCAGGATCCATAGGAATCTGATTATAGCCCGAGTAAGCATCCATGAAACTCATCAACTCATGTCCCGAAGTTGCATCAACCATATAATCTATGTGGGGAAGCGGATAACTGTCCTTCGGGCACGCCTTATTCAGGTTGGAAAAATCGATACACAGTCTCCATAGCCCATTGCTCTTTTTGACAAGAACAGGATTTGAGACCCACGTCGGGTATTTGGCTTCCTTGATGAACTTGTTGTCGATGAGTTTTTTGACTTCTTCTTCCAACGCCTTATGACGATCCGACCCCAGTTTTCTTCTCTTTTGTACAACAGGCCGGATGGTTCGATCGTGGTTCAACTTGTGGCTAGCAACACCGGGGTCGATACCCTTTATATCCTCGTGCTTCCAAGCGAAAACATCAGAATTGTGTTTGAGAAACGAGATAAGTTCTGACCGAAGAGGTTCTTGAAGATGACTTCCAATACGCAGTGATTTGTGGAAG